TATTATATTCTTTTATTAGCATTGAATTTTCTATAAAATCTTGATTCTCTAGATTTGCTTTCCTAATAAAAGGGCTCTGTCGATCTATATATACCAGGATCATCTTTAACAAGTGTCATAGTAGCAGAAGAAGCCGCACAAATTCCGTGTTAAAGTTAGTTTTCTCCTATTCCCTTTCCATTAATTCGTTTCAATTTACAGAAATTACGATGTTTTTCCGATGAATTTATAATGTCTTTTTTTATTATTCATTGGATCGAAGCTCAATTTTTTTTTTTTCATAACGAGAAGTAATTATTAGTATTACAAAAATTACGATGTTTTTCTGATGAATTTAGGATGTTTTCCGTTTTTATTATTTATTGGATCGAAGGTCAAATTTTTTTCATAATGAGAAGTAATAATTATCTAAACAATTCGTATAAGTTCCTCTTATATCGATGGCGGAAAGATTTTTCCTTTTTCAGCGGCACAAAAGAAGATTAATTACCCATTAGGGACGCTGTGCAAAAATCTTAGGTTCCCGAGAATTTAACGAAAAAAACTACTTATATTGTATAATTTATCATTAAATATAAAGAAAAAAAAGCCACCAATGACTAGACCATATAGACCATAACTCTTGTTTGTGACCCGCGACCGAACCCCACTTGGAACTAGGAATTTGGATTTTTGAACCAAAATTTGTCCAAATTAGGTACAAACACCATTGAAATAGTTGGGTTCTTCTTCAGGTCACACGTGATACTTTCTCTAGGACAAAGTTGCCCAGATGAGTCGTCCTAAAAGACTCAACAATCCCCTCATCCTCTGGATGACACAGAGCAAGCTAGCCGTGACCAGATCACTAGTACTATTAGCCAGGACTTTTAACACTTCAATAATTAAAGAAATAAGAAAATTTTGTCAAAATTAAATACTCCTAACAACTATGTGACGGGGAAAGCAAGGAAATTTACGTTTATGAAGACTTATATAAACCCTCATCGGCTTTTATTACAACTGCAAGTTTTCAAAACCTATTAAGGACCAATAAGTAACGAACATAACCACGTTCAGACAAGATAAAACCAAGGGCTTATCAATTTTTCTCCTTTTTATGGTGAGTTCTTCTGCAGGTTGAAATATGTCCTTTCTTGTTCTATGTTTCATGTGCATTTGGGCATTCTTTAGGTTCTGAAATGGTAATCGTTTGTGTTTTTTGGTTTGCAGGTTCTGGTAATCAAGGAAAATGGCGGAGGTGGTGAGTAGATGCCACGGGAATTTGGTTGTCTTTTGGATGACAATGGCGGTGGAGGTGCTGCTTTTGCTCTCTGTTTGCCCTGAGATTACTCCACCCAGGTTCTGC